CATACCCTCCGCCGACACCCCCACCCCATCTATTTGTCGAATCACAAAAATCAAGGCATAATTTTCAAGATTATGGGGGACACCTTGTCCTGGGAAAAACATTCTGCTCAACCTGCTTTTCGTAGATATCGTAAAGCAAACTACATCTAAAAACAAATCAGAAAATAAATGTTGATGTTTTAAATGTGCTATGTGCCAGACATGTATATTACACAGTACCAACCAGGATAATGGGTTTTATGTTTCCATGGCATCGTTGACTGCAGTTACGTAGCTCTACAATGCTTTTCATTGTAGGCTATCATTACCTCATCCATTAAATGTTTTCAGTCAGACAAGGTAATAACGAGGCGTGTGGGTGTTGGGGGGTGGGGGGTGGTGGTGGTACATGAATCGTTTGACCCACACTGAGCCAGCATAAGAGTGTTTGAGGGAGAGAAAAGGTGCAGACTAACTAAACCAACCTCAGCTGCAATTATTTATGTTTTTGTGCACAAACAGATGCCTGGGCAGGCCTTTCTGAAAACATTCACTCCTGTCCTACATTACCTGTCATGTAACCCATGACTGTCTGTCCGCTGTCTTTCTGCCAGCCCAGCCAGGCAGAAAATAGCACCCAACACTCCTCGATTAATAAGGGGCAGTGAAAAGACACTCAGGACTCTCTGGGGACTGCAGGGGAGGGAAATTAGCCCACATCAGGCTAATCAGAGAACCTCAGAGTCCATTAACATTTGCATCACAATCACAGGTAGCACGTTGTTTGTGTTATCCACTAGATTATGTGTTGGACAGTCCTCTGCTCATATAAGTTCAACACGCTGTCACAGAAGATTTTCTGCTATTTGCCGACTTCAGATGACAGTATCACCAGTTTGTCTGTCTGTTGTTCCATTTGTGGAGATAAGTCACATATTAAAACTGAGCTATGATATCACAATGACAACAGTTGTACAGTCAGTTTGATTTTAGGTAGATACACTCCCCTTTATATCCAGTCACATTTCAAAAGACATAGGTTAAATATGAAAGTCTCGAACCATCACACAGCTCAGACGGCTGTTTCCTAAGTACACTATTAGTGCCCCAGAATCATTTTTAGATGGTGGCCCTCGTCAAATAATAATTGAATTTAATAGTATCACTCAATAGAAACTAGCACAATGAGAATATGTAATTTCCTCTCTTTGTTCACTGCAATGTTTGTTTCCACCCAACCCATCCCTTATAAAACTATTTAGAAACATCTTAGTCAACATCTATAAAACTAAGACCAGGGTAGACAGGCTATGGCTGTTTGCATTGGAACAAAGAGCAGCATAGCCTGTGATATCTAAACACCATTGTATTTCTCTCCACTGTTTTGCCTCTCCTCACTGTGGAGCTGCAGCCGAGCCATCAGGCAATCACATCCTCCGCTCACTTCCACAGAGAGAAATCCAGGTGGCCCGCAGTGGTAAACCACTAAGAGCCTTTTCATTACATCTAATGTGCCTGTTTAATGGCTTCTTATGGGCTCCCGAGAGACCTCACCAGAGAGGGGTTTGTATTAGTCCTGCATGATAGCTTCAGCCCGAAAACACCACTGTGACAAATAGCATGAGCAATTCATCTATCTATCTATCTATCTATCTATCTATCTATCTATCTATCTATCTATCTATCTATCTATCTATCTATCTATCTATCTATCTGATTAATTGTGATTATCTAGGACCAGCATGCAATTCAATTAGTAACAGCACTAAGTAGGAATGATTTGTTAGCCAAAAAAGACTCCAAAACATATCTGTGAGTTTACTGCCCGCATGTGTGTTTGATATAAAACGTTCCCCAGACACCTTTCTGCTGTTAACCCACGGTTACTCGGCTCTCTTCATCAACCTTTGACGTGCCTCTTCCCGGAGCAGGTCAGGCTCACTCTCCTGCTGCGACACATTAACATTGTAATTGCCTCTTTTTGAGCACAATAAACTGAGCCGGTCCACGGGGACTTGCACAGCCCGGGGCTGGCACAAAGCTACGCCATCGATTTTTCACACTGTGCCAGAAAAAAAAAAAAAAAAAAAAAAAAATCCTTCATTGACTCTAGACCTGAATGTGCATGTTTTTCTTTTATGTTGACATTCTGCCGATGATGTAGGGTATCTGGTGTAGCCTGCATCTGACACTTGCCTCAGGCCAAGAGGGGAAAACACATTATGGAATAACAGCTCATTATAATTTTAAATGCTATTAATGACTTAAACATTACGACAACACAAGTTATTGTATTGTCAGACAATGTGTAAGTGAGTAGAAGAGGGAGGAACATGTCTTCTACATTGATCAGAACTTAAGGAGAAGGTTAATCATCAATATCTATCACACCTAATCTACACCACTAGTGAAAAGTCCTTCCATCAGTAGTACTGATGTGTGTGCTCCTCTGTGCCAATCATGTCTAACAGAATGTGTGTTTCTGGTTGTCTCAACCAACACATCTATACCTGTGTGTGTGTGTGTGTGTGTTTGCATACTGTATGTGCAAATGTAAGTAAGCATGTGACTAAGTTGTGTGTGGTCTTGCCAATAAAGCACAGTCAATAAGAAGCAGAGTTCAGTGGCTGATTAACTGTGTAATAGTTGTGTTCTCATTAAAGTTGTACGCCATGGGAGCAGCAGACATCTTGTCAGCTCTCACAGGGATTCCCACCTTTGAATCACCCTACACTTTGACTGAGAGCAGAGAGGTTCATCCTGG